GTACGGGTGGTCAAATTTTGAAAATCCGGGAGGCTACATTCCAGTAAGCCAGTACTGCACGAAAGTGGGGAGAGCCCTCCAACTCAAGAAGGTCACTAAAACACCATTGGCAACAGCTGCCAAGAGATCGAATGACTGTCCCGGGGATATGGTCACGGAGGAGAAACTGCTGAAACTATGGAAGCAGATTCAGAAACTTCCAGACCAGAAGGCGGCTAGTCTTCTGTGATTACAATCTATGCAGTCGGTCCCCTCTGCGGTGTGGCTGTCAACAAAGGGCATGCTGCTGATCCAGCCAACCTGCCCTCGCTGCGAGTGGGCATGGGAGACCACCTCCCACCTGTGGGTGGACTGCCCATACTCTCTCCTGATTTGGCAATGGTGGAGGATGCTTTGGTCTTCTTTGGGCGGCTCAGCATTTCCTTGGTCGGATTCTTGGATTCGCTCTGGGTGTAGCAATGCTGTAATGACATATGATTCAGGGTGGGGTTATATTGCTCAAGTATGTAGAGGTGTCATTATGAGGGCGATCTGGTTTGCTAGGAATCAAAAGCTCTTTAGGGATGAGTCCCCACACTCAGAAGAACTGAAAGGTCTGGTTAAATCGCAGATCAGGTTGATTATCTTAGCAGAGAGGCAGAGGAAAGGGCCATTATGGTTCCTTCACACCTGGGCTGCAAATGGGCGACTGGCAACCATCTCCCAGGAAGGCAATTTGCTACTGTGCCCTTGGCTACTTCTCCTTCCCCACCCCCCTACCCCCACAAAGACCTGTGATTGCTGGGTTGGAAGGTAGGCGGCCAATTGTCCAATGCATCATTGGAGGTTGCTGTTGGATTAGACAGATTGAGATGTTCCTACTGCAGAGTCTTTAAGACATGCTTTTCAAAGGGGGATGCTCGACCCGGCTTCCAGCTTAGCCTATTCTGGCACGAATTTTAATTATTTTTTGCGCTTCAAGGTAAATTGTGGAGAGTTGCTTTTCGCCTCTGGTGAGGCAGGGGCGCTGAACCCGATTTTCAGCAAGAGTTACTCCGGGTTGAATTGTGAGGTCCCCGGGCTCCCCATGTTTTATCTTGAATGCTCCAACTTTGTCAAAAAAAAAAAAAAAAAAAAAAAAAAAAGAGTGCAGCCGCTAAGTATAAGCATATTCCCCAAGGCCTCATTTTTTTTTAGCACTAAAAAAAAAAGTAAAGAAGTTAAAAAAAAA